ATATGCTGTGCTCCCAGCCCCCTATCCCCATGCTGGTTTAGCATCTGTAAGATGAGATGTTATTCAATCAGACAGTCAAGGTGGAAATCGAGTGATTGAGACCCAAATTGTCAAGTGTGTCAAGCTTGACTGTCACAGTATTTAATTTGTGAAGTTGTTCCAGCCAGAGTGGGGAGAGGTGTGCCCTAGCAAGGGGGGCTGTGCTCCCCCTGCAGAGCCAGAGCCTGCTTTGGGGGTGATGTCATCTGATTGCCTGCTCTTCCTGTCAGTGGTCAGGACATTCAGCTCCATCCTGGGATGACTGTGAGAACGAGACAGATTGGTCCTGGGGTGCTGCAGTACACTGTTCTGCTGCAGTGGTCTGACTTTCCAGGTGAATTGGGATCCCTCTTACCTTTTAAATCCTTTGTCTCAAAGCTAACATGACCTCCATTGTTGGGAAAACGCTCCAAGATGTCCGCTCAACAGGTAAAACCCTTGTGACAGTTCAAAACTGACTTATCTCAAGACTGAGAGGGAGGATCTTAAATACAGATGCTTCTCAATGTACAATGGAATTACATCCTGATAAACCCAATGAAAACACCAATGGCATTAAGTAGAAAATGCATTTAATATACGGGACCCACCTGTCATCATAGCTTAGCCTAGCTTGCCACAAACTTGCTCAGAACACTTACCTTAGCCTACCATTGGGCAAAATCATCTAACACAAAGTCCGTTTTATAACAAGGTTTTGTTATCTCCTGTACACTCAAAGGTATAGACATGATGGAAAGTGAAAACATGAAACAATATCCACAGAAATGCTGGCAATACAGCACACGACAGAATCGCGATCATGTGGCTGACAGGGAACTACTGTGGCTGTCCAGCAGCAGGAGAGGCTCAAACCATATATCCCCAGTCTAGGAAAAAATCAGAATTCAAAATCAGAGCATGGTTTCCACCGACTCCATATCCCTTCTACAAATCAAAAGATTCTAAGTCAAGCTGTCATAAATCAGGAATCATTTATAAATGATTACTCTGAACACCAAGAGAACCTATCTCTAACTTTTGAACACAAGTAGTGCAACCTAGTGGACTTTGCAGATAACAGATCTTAGAGTAAAAAATAGCACATTCCTTAATTTCCGCTTGCAGCCCCCTTAACTCGTGGGAATTGGGCCAAAGAACAAATCTGCCTGATAGACAACACACGCTGTCGGAAATAGTGAGTCAAGGCCAGGATGCTGCTCAGATCCAGGGTTGTGTGGGCCCTGGCAAACCCACCCCCGCCAGTCTGTGCCTAGAACTGGGCACAGCTTCACAAGGTGGAATCCTTGCTACAATTGTGTGCCTCCTTGTATATTGGGTTTCCCAAATAGAATTTCTTAAATTAGTACTTTTGTCTCAGGTCTCAAACCTCTGTTGGAAAACCATCTGGGTAAGTGAGCTGCAAAGTTGGGTGGCAAGGAGACCCAGAAACACAGTGACTTCAGGAGTGTGGAAGTGTGTTTCTCTGGCACATGTGAGCCGAGCAATGAGTAGCTGGGTTGCCAAGAAAGCTCAGCATCTGATGAAACATTTTGTTTTCCTTTAACCCCTTAGGACTGTGGCATCAGTCACCTGGAGGTCTTGGGAAGCCACTTCCCATTCCCAGAGTTTCTACAATAGGTCTGAGTAGGACCCAAGAATTTGCATTTTTTTCTAAAAATTTTATTATTTTTTTGAGAGGTAGAGATACAGACTGTGAGAGGGAGAGACAGAGAGAAAGGTCTTCTGTTCGTTGGTTCACTCCCCAAATGACTGCGACAGCCGGAGCTACATGGATCTGAAACCAGGAGCTTCCTCTGGGTCTCCCAAGTGGGTGCAGAGGCCCAAAGATCTGGGCCATCTTCTGCTGCTTTCCCAGGCCATAGCAGAGAGCTGGACAGGAAATGGAGCAGCTGGGTCTCCAACCAGTACCCATATGGGATGCCGGCGCTTCAGGCCAGGGCGTTAACCCGCTGCACCACAGCACCGGCCACAAATAAGTGTTTTAAGAGCTGGGCCTGGAAATGGCATTTATCATTTCCATCACTCCACATTGGCTGAGGTGCATCACAAAGCCACGCCTGTCTGCTAGGGAAGCTGGGGAAAGTCTAGCCAGGAGACCTTATGCCTGACCACAATGTGAGAAAGGGAGGAAAAGATTCAGCCAGCCCACATACACCGATCACACTGATTTTATCTTTGCTCAGAGCCTGAGTTCTTTGAGGCAGGCCAATGTCGTTCTTCCTTGTACCTTCAGAATCTATCATAGAAACCCACGTGGATACAACAGTCCATGTTGAGTTCTTTGGTTATGCACTAACCTAGAGCCCTGGATGCCTTCATCAGCATGATTATTTGAACAGTGTGTGATGCCCCCTGCCTGACTGTAAGCCCCATGAGAGTCAAGACCCTGGCCCCAGTACTTCAAGGCCTCACACCATGGCATCCATAAGTAAATGTGACTTTACATCATTATCCTTCATAACCCAGGGAGCTAAATTAGCTCTGTTTATTGAAACAACTTCAACCAAAGAGAATTAAAACCAGTGTTGAAGCCCAAGTGTGTTCCTTCACACACACACACACACACACACACACACGAGTCAACATTTGTGTGGAGTATGTATTGTGTGTCCACCATGTCTTGGTACTGACACAACCAGTCAGCTGATGACCAGGCAGTGAATCTCCCCTGAGGCTGGGGTGTTCCTGGATCAATAGTTTTTTTGTTGTTGTTGTTGTTTTTGTTTTGTTTTTAAGAGAACAGCATTTTTTAAATTTATTTATTTGACAAAGTTAGACAGAGAGAGACAGAGAAAGGTCTTCCTTCCGTTAGTTCACTCCCCAAATGGCCATTACAGCCGGTGCTGTGCCGATCTGAAGCCAGGAGCCAGGTGCTTCCTTCTGGTCTCCCATGCAGGTGCAGGGCCCAAGCACTTGGGCCATCCTCCACTGCCCTCCCAGGCCACAGCAGAGAGCTGGACTGGAAGAAGAGCAACTGGGACTAGAACCTGGCGCCCATATGCCCATATGGGATGCGGCACTGCAGGTGGAGGATTAACGAAGTGAGCCACTGCGCCAGCCCCTGGATCAATAGTTTTAAGAACAGCAGCTGTGGTGTATCCAGTAAAGCCCCGGCCTGCAGCGCCGGTCGAGTACTGGCTGCTCCACTTCCGATCCAGCTCTCTACTAGGGCCTTGGAAATCAGTAGAAGCTGGATTGGGATACCCGGAAGAAGCTCCTGGCTTCAGAGCGGCCCAACTCCAGCTATTACAGCCATTTGGGGAGTGAACCAGTGGATGGAGAACCTCTCTCTCTTTCTCTGTTTCTCTGTAAGTCTGTCGTTCAAATAAATAGATAAATAAATCTTTAAAAAGAAGAATAGCAGAATGAAGTAAACAAGATTCTCTACTGTAGAATTCCTCCAAGTCTTTTATTTTTTAATATCATTTTATTTATTTGAAAGAGTTACAGAGAGGTAGAGACAGAGATCTTCCATCCCCTGGTTCACTCTCCAAATAGCCACAATGACCGGGGCTGGGCCAGGCCCAAGCCAAGAGCTAGAAGCTGTTTCTGGGTCTCCCACATGTATGCAGGAGCCCAAGGACTTGGACCATCCTGTGCTGCTTTTCCAGGTACACTACGAAGGGGCTGGATTGGAAGTGGAGCAGCTGAGACTTGAACCAGTGTCCATGTAGGGTGCTTGCGCTGCAGGCCAGGGCTTTTACCCACTGAGCCACAGGTCTGGCCCCTCTCCAAGTCTTTAATGTGTTCATAGCCTCTGTGACCCTCCAAGGAGAGGAACAAACTCATGGCCCTCTCCCAAACTTCTGTGATGAGGGAACCTTCTTTCCTGGAGCTGGTCAGGGGAACTTGTGCAAAGCCCTGGGCAGCTATAAGGTGCAAATGTGTGAAGAATATCTAGTCTAGTAAATACAGCAGATGCCAACTTCACGTCTGTATTTCCCATGTCACTGTGATGCTGTGACAGTTGATCTGGTAGAGGAGATGGCTACAAAGTGACTCATGGGTGGGTCGTGTGAGCAGTGTGGACATTCCAGGCAAAGGGAAGTTTCACATTCTGGGCTGGACAGAGTGACATTTCTTCATGGTCAACAGGGCAGCATGCAATTTGAAATGTATGAATTATTTATTTCCAGAAAGAGGAGCAACCGGGACAGAATCCGGCACCCCGACCGGGACTAGAACCCGGTGTGCCGGCGCTGCAAGGCAGAGGATTAGCCTATTGAGCCGCGGCCCTGGCGCTGCTCCACTTCTAATCCAGCTTGCTGCTAATGAGCCTGGGAAAGCAGCAGAGGATGGCCCAAGAAATTAGGCCACTGCCACCCACACAAGAGAGACCTCGATGAAGCTCCTGGATTTGGCCTGGCCCAGGCCTGGCCATTGCAGCCATTTGGGGAGTGAACCAGCAATAGAAAAAAATCTTTCTCTTTCTCTCCTTCTCTCTCTCTGTAACTTTGCCTTTTAAATAAATAAATAAATCTTTTAAAAAAATAAAGTTATTTCTAATAGATACAAGAATAATATGTAACATGTTAAACATGGTTATCTCTGTGAAGGTGCATTATAATTGGTCTTTATTTCCCTTGTTATAATTTACACATTTTTCTAGAATGCACATATGCTTTTATGATAAAAACTGTGAACAGTTTCTATTTGGCAGAGGTTTGGCTGGAGCTGGAACTGTGAGAGTGAGGAACAGAGGATTCAGGCAGCTGAGTGGGCAGGAAGGCCTCTGGCCAGGCCCTGGGTGGGCTGTGCCCTTTAGGTTGTGTCCCCATTCTGCCCCCCGTGTCAGATCAGGGGTCTCTCTGCCTCTAGCTCCATCTCTGCCCAAGGCCTATCTGAGTGTCCCCAGGCTTGCAGGGACAGCTGCAGAGTGTGGGAGTGAGGTGGTTGGGGGCACAGAGAAGGGGACTTTCCCTACACTTGTGCATGAGTCTCCCTGGTTTTGCTTTCAGGTGAGTTCCAAAGTGGGAGCCACAGATCAGCGTCTCATCTGACCGCTGACTGCTGACTGCTGACCGCTGCTGCTGCCGCCGCCGCCGCCACCAGTCCTTGTCGCCAGCCCAGGCCTGTCTCTGTGCCACCTCTCAGCAGGTAAGGGGAATGACTTTTCCTACCCACACCCAAGAGTAGGTTCTCACTAGACAGCAGGTGTCTGCCAGGCGTGTGTGTGGGGGCCTGACTGAGGCTTGGACATCAGGATCCTTAAGGTATGGCCAGCTCCTCACATGGTCATTTTCTTCTAGCAATTGTACCGACCTAACCCTCTCTCCCATGCTCCTTTAAGCTAGAGCTTAATGAGGCACAGTGGCCTCCACTCTTCCAGAACGTCTAAGTACTGTGCCCTGAGTCAACTCAGCAGTGCTGCGGGTAGAACCACCGTGCCCTGGTCCCCCATCCCCGACCTTGCATTGATTGAATTGTGCCCCCCACGACAGCCCCACAGGAAGCCCACCTGTGTATTGTGCACTTCTGTGCCCAGGAAGAAGGAGCTCTCTGACCATGGCAGCACCCAGGGCTGGCTCCTGCGCTGTTGGCTCATTTTTCCTTTCGCCTTGCCTTCTAGAAGGGAAAGCTAAGAATCAGGTTTAGCTTTGCTACGTCTTCACTTTGTCCCCAGTCCATTTTTTCTTCTTAGGCCAAGGTGAGATATACACAGGTGCACATGTGCGCACACACAGATACACATGGAGACACATGCCTCAGGTCACAGGGAAGTGTGGCATCCGGGTGGTCTGAAAAAAGTAAAGGTGTCATTCCAGTGGAACCTGAAAGGTGCCTGGCCAGGTGGGGAAGGGCAAGCCTCAGAAACCTATAAGAGCTCTGTCTTCCCTCTCTCTGTCACTACCCATGGGGTTGTTTCTTTAAGAGGCTCAGTTGTCTTTGGTTCCAGTTGGCAAAAGCCATTTCCTTCTCCCTGCCGGCTATGCCTGAGTGACTGTGCCCACGCGGACAGAGCACACACACACCACCCCACCCGCCACCCTGCCATCTCACTCCCAGGTTGGGCAAGGTTTAGGACCACTGAGTCTGTTCTGGGAGAGCAGGATGAACCAGGTGTGTGGGCTGAAATCTTCGGGGCTTGAAGGCCACATTGCACCAAGGAGGGCCAAAGCTGGGAACAGTGTCAGAGAAATGCGTCCTGCACTCTCACAGACAGACGAGCTCCGTGAAGTCCAGTTACTGAGCGTCCTGGCCGTTTCTCCTCCAGCACCAGCATGTGATGGCTCAGCCTCACTTCTCTAAGTGCTGCCACACGCCAGCAGCACTGGGCAGCTCGTCAGAATCCTAGAGCAGTCCCTAGACCCAGTGCATTTCATCGTGACCCACAGGCACCTTGAGGCTCAAAAAGGACTGACTAAGAGAGTCTCTGCTGGACATGAGAGCCCTTGCAAGGCAATTGGGCTGACACAAAGAAGCAATAAAGGGGAAGTGATTCACAGCCACCTCTGGTATGTGCCATAGTCACCTTGGGAGATGGTCGAAAGCAAGCTTCCTGGGGGCTGGTGCTGTGGTACAGCAGGTCTGGCCACCCTCTGTGGTGCCAGCATCCTGTACCAGAGCACAGTTTGTATCCTGGCTGCTCCACTTGCCATCTAGCTCCTTGCTAATGCAACTGGGAAAGCAGCAGAAGATGGCCCAAGTACTTGGGTCCCTGCTACCCACATGGGAGACGTGGATGGAGCTCCAGACTCCTGGCTCCAGCCCAGACCAACCTGCCACTGTAGCCTTCTGGGGAGTGAACCAGCAAATGGAAGATCTGTCTTTCTCCCTCTCAGTTATTCTGCCTTTCAAATAAACAAATAAATCTTTAAAAGCAGAAAAATCAGAGACGTCCCAGAATGCAGGGTCATAGTCTGAATCTCAGGTGCATGAGGTCAGGGAACCGGGTTGATCAGTACAGTCACACACACATGTCCAGTGGCTACAGGATCACTGAAGACAACGAGAGGGAAGTCCTGGGACCGGAAGCAGGCAGCTGAGGGGGAGCGGAGCGGAGCAGAGCAGAAACGGAAGGGCAGGCAGGAAGAGGCTGCTCCAGCCTTGCTTTGGAAGCTTCGTTTAATTGCTTTGGGATGGGAGTCGTGGTTACCCCTCCACCTCCTTCTGGGTAAAGATGCAGATCGGAGGAGGAGAGCCTGTCTGTATTTTTGTGTTTTAAGATTATCAGATGAAAAAGATACAAATATGTTTTTACATGCTGAGCAGGAACCCAAAGTCACCAGTGTTAGAGGAAAAAGGGGAGTGAGTGGTAGGGCAGAGCAGGGAAGAGATAGGACTCCCCAGTCAGACTCTCTCCCCACAGTGAGGATCAGAAGTAGACCTTGGGGCTGGTGCTGTGGCAGTAGGTTAATCCTCCACCCGTGGTGCTGGCATAACCATATGGGCACCGGTTCTAGTCCTGGCTGCTCCACTTCCGATCCAGCTCTCTGCTATGGCCTGGGAAAGCAGTAGAAGATGGCCCAAGCGCTTGGGCCCCTGCACCCACATGGGAGACGCAGAGGATGCTCCTGGCTCTTGACTTCAGATCCACTCAGCTCCGGTCATTGTGGCCAACTGGGGAGTGAAGCAGGGGATGGAAGACTTTTCTCTCTCTCTCCCTCTCACTGTCTGTAACTCTACCTCTCAAATAAATAAATAAAATCTTTACAAGAAAAAGTAGACCTTCCAGGCTCCACCTAGCTCAGGGCTCTGGGGCTGTTTCTCTGTGAGTCTCTGGGCTCCGTTCCTGGTTGATTCCCCAGTGGTCAGTATGGCTCTTGGAGCTCTGGGCATGAATCAGTCAAAGCAGCCAAAGACAGAGGCTGCTTCCCTCGTGCCTGGCCTCTGGAAGACCCTTCCCTACGAGCCCTGCAGACTTTCCCGGCGCCCCAGGGATTGGGACCAGGGCAGGGAGAGCGTCACTGCTGCACCGGGGGGCACGGAGGTCGAGCCTGGCACTTTCAGCTCACAGGGAGGAAGGGGCCCCTGCTGCTCCGACACAGAGGAAGAGCTGCTGTGCTGGAGTCAGGTGGTGTGGACCCGGAGACAGCCCAGCTGTCAGTGCGGTGGGGTCAGTAGGGGCCTGACTTAGAGGCCCTCCTCTGTGGTCAGAGCAGGCTGAGTCCTCCTCTGAGGACAAGAGGACGGGGGCAGTGAGGGGGTGGTGGAGGTTGCAGTAGGGCAGATGGAGGGGAGATGGTTTGGGGCAAAGGGTCCTATTGCCAGGCAGCTTTGAGTGCCACATGAAGGCTGGGCGGGGGAAAGGGGGTGTTTATCCTGCGGCACCAAGCAGCACTTCCGTGTTGGGGTGACCCAGAGTCAGGCCCTAGGGAGAGGAAAGGGCCAGGGCAGGAAAGTAGAGGCTCCTGGGAGAGCACAGCGGCAGCCTTGGGTCGTGTTGTTCAGGTGAATGTGAAGCTGAATGCAGTCAGGAGGGAAGGAAGGATTGAGACGCCGTCCCGGGGGATGCTGAGCCCAGGAGTGCAGCCCCCTGGCCGTGGACAGTCTGGGGGCCTGGTTGTGGGTGGTGGATGTGGGCTGAGAAGATAGGAGGATTAATGGGGAGACGACGAAGGGATGAGAGACCCCAAGAGGAGGCAGCTCTGCTCTGGCTGCTGGAGCTCCCAGAGGGTCAGGCGCACCCCCTACCCCCAAGTTATTTTATGACCCAAGACACAAAAAGGAAAGTGTGGCTCAGGGGGCCTTTTCCAGGTATTACGCGTGCTGACAGAGCCCTCTTCCTGAGGTGTGCAGGGCAGTGGAGGGTGCTGCACACACCCACTTCTTCATGGGCTGAGAAGGAGCCAGGAGCTGCCGAGCAGGGCCTTCCAGGCAGCGGGTTCCCTGGCAGGAGCAAGGGCGGCCCCATCTGCACACGCACATCCATACACACCCTCACCTCACACACACCCGCCCATGCCCGCAGCACAGGGCCCTCTCCTCCTCCCTTTGCCCTTCCCTGTGGCGTTCGAGCATCACTCCTGCTGGTCCCAGCTCTGCTTCCACTTCATCCGGCCCCCTTCCCCTCCACTTCCCTTCTCAATGGAATGAGGGGGTGGATTCTGGGACGGGACAGGGAGGAGGACCAGGATTGGCAGGCAGTGGCTTAAGGAGCCCTCTCCAGTGGCAGGAACTAGACTGTGTCTGCCTTGTTTTGTGTGGGTGGCCACACACAGGACACATGCGTAGGAACATGGGCTCTGCTCTGGATCGTGGTGGGTGTTCCCTGGGTTTCATAGACCCCCAACCACTCATAGTCCTCCATCTCTTGAGGAAAGGTTCCCAGACAAGATAGATGCACCTGTTCAACTCTGATTTCAGTGGCTGATCCGCTGATAGCAAGAATATTTTAACTTCTTTAAAATTGCCTTTGGACAAATGAAGTTGCCATCATGCCTCATTGGGCCAGAGAGTTATTAGCTCATACCTGTAAAAATCCTGCCAGGACACTTGTTGCAGCCCTCACAGCTGACGCTGTGCTCATGGGAGCTCGGGCCACTGTGTGCTGGCAGCTGGCAGACCTCACCGTGAGCCTCCTCTGAGCAGTTTCTCATCAAAGCGGGCACCTGTGATCTGCGCCTGCTTCTCCAGCACCAGTTGGCGTCCAGTGGCCTTTTCTTCACCACGAGGCATCAGTGTGTCGGGTCAGGAAGAATGTCTTTGTCCTTCTGGCAAAGCACATCTGTGGTTGGCATTAGAGTATGTGTGTTTGTGAGCGTGATATATTTTTTTAAAGACTTATTTATTTGAGAGAGAGAGTTACAGAGAGAGGGAGAGACAGAGGGAAAGGTCTTCCATCTACTGGTTCACTCCACAAATGGCTGCAACAGCTGGGGCTGGGCCTGTCCAGAGCCAGGAGCCTCCTCTAGGTCTCCCACACAGGTGCCGGGCCCAAGCATTTGTGCTATCTTCTACTGCTTTCCCAGGCCACAGCAGAGAGCAGGATTAGAAGAGGAGCAGCCGGGATACGAACCAGTGCCCATATGGGATGTCGGCACTGTAGGCAGAAGCTTAGCCCACTGCGCCACAGCGCCAGCTCCATGATATTGTTTAAAAGACAAACTCCCGACAAAGTCTGTAAGCTTTTTGGAATGACAGCCAATTCAAATTCATGACGAAGCAAATTTCATCCATCAGAAATATGCGTGTAGAGCTGTCAGTTGCTGAGACAGCCAGATGGGGTGTTGTAAAGAACACTCGGCTTGGCTTCAAAGCACGGAGTCTGGGTTCCAGATCCACATGTTTTGGCTGTGGCCGTTGGCCTGATATCTCTGAGTTTTGCACTTTTTTTGCCTTTCCAAAATAAAAATTAGCATTGTCCTGCCAACCAGATGCATGAGCAAACACACATGTGAGAAAACGACTTAGCACCAGCGGAGTACCGTGTGAATGTCCAGGTGCTGCTTCTGGTGGTGGTTGCTGGTTACAGGACCAGCGCCTCTGGCCTTACCCTCCCTGGAGCTGAGAAAGTCTTCCAAACAAAAGCGTGCAGCTCGCTCCGCCTCCTGCAGCAAAACACTCATTTCTTCTGGCCCGGGAGGGCTCACAGTGCTGCCCAAGCTTCCAAATGCTCCCTGGCTTGGACAGAGAAGCTGCAGGTGGTGAGAGGCGGGGGAGGGCCAGGGCGCGTCCTGTGTCCCCCTTGGGAGAGAAGCGCGTGTAACTGTGCTGCCTTGGTTTCTTCCAGGGGCAGCAGCATGAAAGAAGGCATGTCGAGTAACAGCACGACCAGCATCTCCCAAGCCAGGAAGGCGGTGGAGCAGCTGAAGATGGAGGCCTGCATGGACAGGGTGAAGGTAAGTTTGCACAGCCAGCCTGCTCGTCCACCCCAAACACAGAGCCACACAGCCGAGCTGCCGCAGAGCAGCCCTGGGAGTTAGCCCCGGCCTTGGCTGGGCAGCGGTAACATTTACAAACGAGCGCTTGCCTCTGAGTCCCGAGTGTGCCCAAGGATTCAAATAATGCAAAACACACAGTGTGCCGGACCTGACTTCCAGAAGGAGTTGCCAAAAATAGACTCCTACTCAGCTCAGCTCTACCTAGCTCTGTTGTCATGCCAATAAGTGAGAAAGTTTATCGCGTTGTTTATCTGTGAATTTAACAAGGAGGTCAGTCTGGTTTTTGGCTGGGACCAGGGCCTTGGAGGTGATACAGGGGCACTGTCGGGAGTGAGACACTGAACCGTGCCTGCGTTTGTCCAACACCCTTTCGGGGAAAGTGGAGAAAGGTGCCAGCTGCCCCCCATGTGCATTTCTCGGCCGAGTGTGGGCCTCTTCGCGCTGGATGAGCGGAAGCGAGGTGGAGCCACTGTTTCTCCAGGTGCCGTTCAGAGGTGAGTGCCAGGCCAGGCCAAGCAGGTGGTTCTGAAAGGCACCGGGGGCTTCTTGAGGAGGGAATTTGTGAGGAATTTGACCTGGGGAAGTTCAAGGCCACTGTGTTGGTGGTCTTTGGGGGCACAAACCCAGGTGTCTCACTCGGGCAGCAGGCAACTCCTAAAGCCTTCTGGTGGCAGAACCAGCAGTCCCTCCTTGAGGCGCCATCACCAACAAGTGCTGGAGTATGGCCGGATCGCACGGGCTCCCCTGCTAAAAGGATAGTTGCTCTTTTCCTTGGGACTTTGGGGTACGAGCTGTCTAAGGAGACAGACAATACTGAAGTGATCATCTGGTGGCTTCCTGAGGACGGTAGTGGCCCTGAGGAACCACCTTTGTGGCATAGCCATACAGTCACACGATGATTTATTTATACCTGCCTTACCTTGAACTCTTTAAATGTGTGGCTGAAATACGTAGAACATAACTTGCCACTGTAGCCACTTCCGATGTATGGTTCAGTAGTATTAGGTACATTCACAATATTGTGTAGCTCTCAGGTGGATCGCTCATGTTCCCAAACAGAAACCTGCTAAACCACAGCTCCTTCCTGCCCCCTGCCCCAGCTCCTGGCCACTGTCATCCTTCTGTGTCTATGAATTTGACTACTGTAATTCTGCATGTCTGTGGAATCATACAGTATTTGTCCTTTTGTGACTGCGTATTATACTTAGGATAGTGTCCTTAAGGTTCATGGGAGTTACAACATGTATTCAGAATTTTCATTCCTTGGTGGATATATGACAATTCGTCTATCCATTCATCTGTCAGTGGACTTGGGTTGTTGCCACCTTTTGAGCGCCATGAGAAAGGTGGCACATATTGTGAATGTGGGTACACAGGTGATAGTGGAGATGGCTGGAATAAAGGTCCTTACCTGCCCCTAAGAAAAGAATGTCAGAAGACCAGTGTTGTGGTATAGTGGGTAAAGCTGCTGCCTGCGACACTGGCATCTCATATGGGCACTGGTTCGTGTCCTGGCTACTCCACTTCTGGTCCAGCTCCCTAATGATGGCCTGGATAAAGCAGCAGAGGATGGCCCAAGTACTTAGGACCCTGATACCTATGTGGGAGACCCAGATGAAGCTCCTGGCTTCAGCCTGGCTCAGCCATGGCCATTGTGGCCACTTGGGGAGTAAACCAGCAGATGGAAGATTCTCTCTCTCTCTAACTCTTTCAAATAAATAAATATTTAAAAAAAAAGAATTTCAGATATGAGACAGTAGCATAGAGCAAGGAAGCAAAGTTTAATGAGGTAGTACATTGACAGGCTGGATGGACAGCTCACCAGAAGAAAGTGAGAGTGCCCGGTCTGTTCAGACTCAGGTTTATAGGGGTCCGAGGTCTGCTTCTTCGCACTGTTTCTCCTTCCCCTCCCTCTTCTCCTGGGATGCTGCTGGTTGGACTTTCTGGGTATGAAATTCCTCCCAAGGTTTTATTGCCCAGTGTCTTTGGCCTTGGCCAGGAAGTTTCTCCTGGGATGTCTCCAGGCAGGAAGGCTGGGACCACCTCAGAGTTACCTGGACGTGGGTGTGCAAGCACTGGGCTGCTTCTAAGGCTGCAGACTTCTTCTTTTTCCCTTTTCCCTCTCTCACACACAGGCTAGTGTCTACGCTCCTCCCTAACACAAGTACCCATGTGATTCCTTGCTTTCAGTTATTATGAATAGGTTCCCAGACATGGAATTTCTAGACCACGGAGGAATTACATTGTGCATTTTGAGGAATGGGCAGACTGTTTCCATACAAGTTTCATCACTGGGCATCTCCACCAGCAGTACACAAGTGTTCTGGTTTCTCCACATTCTGACCAACACTTGGTATTTTCTGGTTTTGATTTTTATTTAATGTATTTATTTTAACAGAAAGATAAAAATTACATATATTTATGACATACTACAACATGTTCTTTGATATATTTAATGCTGTTTTGATGTATTTGTACATTGTGGAATGGCTAAATAAAGCTATTTTACTTAGGCATGGCCTCACATACTAATCATTTTTTTGTAATGAGCATACTTTATCTATTATCTTAGCAATTTTCAAATGTACAACATACTGATATTACTTGTAGTCACCATGATGTACTGCTTCCTCGTGTCAAAATGAAAAATGAAATTTTGTATCAAATATCCCAATTTCCCCACCTTCAGCCTCTGGTAACCAGATTTTTACACTCTGTTCTATGAAGTCATCTTTTTCACATTAAGTGTATAAGTGAGGTGTAAGGCATATATCTTTATCTATATTTATCTTTATTTATCTTACTGCTTCATTCACTTAACAACATGATGTCCTCCAGGTTCATTCATATTGTCTCAGTCGACAGGATTTCATTAATTAATACTCCATTGTGTATGTATACAGTGTTTTCTTTATCCATTCATCTGTTGATAGTAACTGGAACAAAATTCATCCCCATGTGCCCAACACTGGGCAGTCAGTACCTCAGAGAGACTATATATCTGGGGAGGGGGATTCTGTTGTCTGCAGTCCTGAATGTTGGCTTAGCCCCACACTTTGCAAGTTAACAAAAGTGCTTTGTAAAAGAGAAAATGGGTGTTGGGGGAAGTGGTCTGGCAAGTTACTGGTGGGACTACTGGGGGCTGCTGTTTGGCCATCTCTGTGTAGCTCCAAGATTAACAATTAGCTTTTGTTAATTAGAAGGTGAAAAGAAGATGAAGATCTATTTTTTTTTTTTACAGTTGCAATTGTGTGGCTAGTCCCAAGGTTAGAAAGTAAAGTGATAAAAGGAAGGGCAGTGTGTTACGTTGATGGACACCTAGGTTCATTCTGTACCTTGGCTGTTGTGAGTGCAGATACCCCTTGAGCATTCTGACTTTAATTCCCATTGAGTGTACCCAGTGGTAGAATTGCCGAAGTGTAGGCTACTTCTATTTTTAACTTTTGAGGCGTTTCCATAATGTTTTCCAAAATGGCAACTGATCTGTATTCCCACCAACAGAGCAAGGGTTCCCTTTCTCCATAACCTAGCCAGCATTTGCTGCCTCTCATCCTTTTGATAACAGCTATCCTAACAAGTGCAAGGTGATAGCTCATTTTGGTTTCAATCTGCATTTCCCTTCTGATCAGTTGAGCCTGCTTTCCTAGTGAGTATGAAGCGTACATGTGGGGTCCACCTTGGGCATCCCTTGCTTCAGGGCACAAGGTGGCTTTGAGGGGAAAAAAATCTGTTTGATGTCGGGAAGGAAGGGGAAGAAGGGGAGGGGAAGGGGGGTGTATTGATATCTGAGGGCCAGGGAGAGGCACGGCCTTTCTGGGGGTGGATGTGGGGTCTCTGCAGAAGAGGAGGAAGCAGAGAGGGAGCCTGCGTGGTAAGTGATAGAGGGCAGCCCCGCAGAGGGAGGAGAGGAGCAGTTCATAGATTTTCACTAAACTCAGCGACTGCACCGGAAGCGCCAGGTCCAGATGAAACACTGCGATGGATTTTCCAAGAGGGGAGAAAAGAGTCAGCCCCCGCTGGCTGCACCGTCGGAGTGCAGAGGAGGTGCCTGTGCCAGCGAGGGAGGCACAAGCTGGAGAGGAACAGCTGGAGGCTCCCGGGACAAACCGTCGCGGTGATGAGTCCCAGAGCGGAGTTCCAGGTGGGAGGAAGGCAGATGGAGACCCACGAGGGCAGCCCGGGTAAGGCAGGCACCTGGGTGAAACCTCAGCGAGCACCCCAGCTGGCCTGGTGTGTAGCAGCCAAATGCGGAACTCGCTGCCAGCCTTGGTGGTTTCACATGTTCGGGAGAATCAGGAAGGCAGGAAGGAAAGGACAGCATTTGCTGCTCAGGAGAGAATGATGGGCACGTCTGTCACCAGGAGAGAAGGAGAGCAAAGGTAGCAAAGAGTAATAGTGCAAGCTTAGGGAGGTCGGGAAAAAGAGAGCCAGAAGACCCACTATCATCCCCATTTGCACTGGGCAACTAACTACAGCCTTTTTTTTTGGGGGGGGGGGGTAAGGGATAGGGAGGCTTTGCACCACATAGTCCACAGCGAGACTTCAAATCCATGCCAGGTCAGGGCCCTTCTTGTCCTCGTGCCTCCGTTCACTTCATGTTTATCAAGGACCTCCCCCTGCCCACCTCCTCCTGAGTCACTTCCCTCCTCCTGCTACTCTTCTCCATCATGCCCAATAGTGCATCCAAGCAAAGCTCAGGTCAGCAGCCGAGCCCGTGTGAATGTTCTCCCTGTTGTCATCACAACCTGTGTGGCCCTGCACAAGGAAGGGGGGGGGGGGCAGGTTCCTAATAGAGAGATGAAGAGTACGTGGAAGGTGAATTATAGAAACTGTTTTGGTCCTTAGAGAAAGAATGCATCGTAGCCTGTTCTAACCATTAGAAGCTCAAGCAATGTATAGTCTTATTGGGAAGGCACATATATGACCTTGATCACCAACAGGCGGGCTTTGGCGAGCAG